AAGCTACATCGATCGTCATATTCGTGTGATTCTCAACGATCAAAGCTTGACCTTAGAATCTCTGCGTAAGCACAATGCTCTTATCATCACAGGAGGAAACTCCGACAATATCTTCGTCGCTTCGAAGCTAATTTCATCTTACGCTTCTTACGGGAAACCAAATTTGTCTTCAAGAGTATTCGATTTGGTTACTCGAAGAGATGTGTTTCTATGGAATTCTATCATCAAAGCATATTTCTTCAACGAAAAGTATCGTCGAGCGTTGGATTTCTTCTTCTCAATGGTGTTGTCTGGTCAATCTCTTGATCATTTCACTGCTCCGATGGTTGTTTCCGCTTGTGCGGAGCTTTCTTGGTACGATGTTGGGAGATTCGTTCATGGGTTGGTTTTGAAACTTGGAGTTTTTTATCGCAACTGTGGAGTAGGAGCTTCGTTTGTTTATTTTTATGCAAAGTGTGGAGCTTTAGAAGATGCGTGTAACGTGTTCGACGAAATGCCTGTGAGAGATTTTGTTGCTTGGACTGCGATTATATCTGGTCATGTGCAGAACGGAGAGAGTGAGAGAGGTTTGGAGTATCTTTGTATGATGCATAGTGTTGGTTCTGATGATGAAAAGCCGAATCTCAGAACGTTGGAATGTGGATTCCAAGCTTGTGCTAATTTAGGCGCTTTGGAAGAAGGAAGGTGTCTTCATGGATTTGTTGTAAAAAATGGTTTGGCTGAGTCAAACAATGTCAAGTCTTCGATTTTTGCGTTGTATTCAAAATTTGGGAATCTAGCTGAGGCTTATCTTTCTTTCCGTGAACTTGGTGATAAAGATATGTATTCGTGGACATCGATTATAGCTTCACTGGCGAAATCGGGGAATATGAAGGGAAGTTTTGATATGTTCTGGGAAATGCAGAGAAAGGGAATACAGCCAGATGGGGTTGTTCTTAGTTGTTTGATTAATGAGCTAGGTAAGACGATGCTTGTCGCTGAAGGTAAAGCCTTTCATTGCTTCGTCATAAGGCGTTGTTTTTCTTTAGATGGTACAGTTTGCAATTCGTTGTTGTCGATGTACTGCAAATTCGAGCTTTTGTCTGTTGCTGAGAAGCTTTTCTGTAGGATATGCGAAGAAGGAAACAATGAAGCTTGGAATACAATGGTTAAAGGCTATGGTAAAATGAAATGTGATGTAAAGCGTATCGAGTTATTGAGAAAGATTCATAATCTTGGAATTGATGTTGACTCTGCTAGCTTGGCCTCTGTCATATCTTCATGTTCCCACTTAGGAGCGGTTCTACTGGGGAAGTCGTTGCATTGCTATGTTGTCAAAACTAGCTTGGTCCTTACCACTTCAGTGGTCAATTCCCTCATTGATTTGTATGGAAAGATGGGAGATTTGACTGTTGCTTGGAGGATGTTTTGTGAAGCAGATAAGAACATCGTCACTTGGAACACAATGATTGCGTCTTACATTCATTGTGAGCAATTCGACAAAGCCATTTCGTTGTTCGATAGAATGATTTCTGAGAAATTCAAACCCAGCTCAATAACTTTGGTGACTGTGCTTACGGCTTGTGCTAATACTGGATCGCTGGAGAGAGGACAAATGGTTCATCGGTACATCACCGAAACAGAGCACGAGATGAATGTTTCTCTTACAACTGCTCTGATTGACATGTACGCGAAATGTGGACAAATTGAAAAGTCACGAGAACTGTTTGACGCTGCAAATCAAAAGGATACAGTTTGTTGGAATGTGATGATCTCAGGGTATGGAATGCATGGAAATGTTGAATCGGCCATAGAGCTTTTCGATCAAATGGAACATTCTGATGTTAAACCAACTGGGCCAACATTTCTCGCACTTCTATCAGCTTGCACGCATGCTGGTTTAGTTGAACAAGGCAAAAACCTTTTCCTCAAGATGCATCAGTACGAAGTGAAACCTAACTTAAAGCATTACTCTTGTCTCGTGGATCTTCTTTCTCGGTCTGGTAATTTGCAAGAAGCCAAAACCACGGTAATGTCTATGCCATTCTCACCAGACGCGGTTATATGGGGAACTTTGTTGACCTCATGCATGACTCATGAAGAGTTTGAGATGGGAATACAAATGGCAGAACTCGCGGTTGCTAGTGATGCGCTGAACGATGGGTATCACATAATGCTCGCGAACATGTATAGTGCCGCGGGTAAATGGGAACACGCGGAAAAGGCACGAAAGATGATGAGAGAAAGCGGAATTGAGAAGAGAGCTGGACATAGTGTAGTCTCTAAGTAGTAATCTTTGATACAACAATGCATCATATTTTGTGATGATTCCTCTAATTGCAAGTTAAAGCAAAACATAATCTCATCCATGGTAGTAAAATCAGTTTATAGAGCTCATTTTTTGGATTTAGATTCAAAATAATATGAATCTAAAATCATCAGAATGTTGTTATTTATAGTGTTGATAAAAAAATATAGTTATTTATAGTGTGATTTTTGTGTGTTTAATTAGAAAATAGTAAATATTAAGGCCTTGCAAAAAATTAGAGCTCAAAAGGATAATCTTCTTGCTGGAAAGTAAATAAGGTTGATCTATGATAAGA